CAGAGCACGCGCTCGAATACTTAGCGCACGTAGGAGCTCCCGTCACTCTCGGCCCTTTAGTCCTGAGTCCGACCGGGCCTCTTGCACCCTCCATCTTTCTCTCTCTCGTTTGTAACCCCACAGCAAACTTCGAGCACCTGGGCTCAGGAATAAAGTCACCGACCAACTCAAACTGGACGTAGGGCACGTTGCCTAAACCGGTATAAATCCGGTGTCATTGAGTGCTAGGCCACATCCGATCACAACGTACGGTAAAACTACAAATATTTACGTGTTGGTCACTTTCTGCACCGACAATATCTTCAAGGAATATTTGATGCAGTAGACAAAGGACTAAGCGAAGGCAACCAAATAGGTAAAAGGATATTATTACCATCAAGTCATACTGGTTCAAGACGTTATGTGATGCAAAATTATCATGATGGCATAGCAATTTGTCGTGTATATGGACCTCTAGATCTTTTTATAACATTCACTTGTAATTCGAAATGGCCTGAGATAACTCTAGCAATTTTAGAGGGTCAACAACCTAATGATAGACCTGATATCATAGTACGTGTATTCCACATGAAACTACAACAATTGCTATATGATTTACGCTCAGGCTCAATCTTTGGTCCCATATCAGCAGTTTTATACTCAATAGAATTTCAAAAAAGAGGATTACCTCATGTGCACATCTTAGTTTGGTTACAAAAAAATGGAAATGAAATAACTCCTAAAATAATAGATAAGTGGATATCTGCTGAAATACCAAACCCGAGAGAAGATCCTTTAGGATATGTTCTCATATCAGAACATATGATGCATGGTCCGTGTGGAGAAAGAAATAAGGATTGTCCATGTATGAAAAAAGGAAAATGCTTGAAATTTTATCCGAAGGAATTCCAAGATGAAACCAATTTATCTGATAATGGTTTTACTTGATATCGACGTCGAGATACTGGACTCTACATAAGGAGAGATAACCATAACCTAGACAACAAGTGGGTTGTGCCACATAATTTATTGCTCCTTAAAAAATACCAAGCACATATAAATGTTGAATTTGTGAACAAAAGTAAACTCTTAAAATATCTATGCAAATATGTAAACAAAGGAGCAGACAACGCAAAGATAATTTTTCAACGTTTAAGAAAAGGTGAAGATCCACCAACAAATGAAGAAACTAAAGATAAAGATGACATAAAAGAATACTTAGAATGTAGATACATATGTGAGCAAGATGCACTATGGAGATTACTTGGCTTTGAAATACATCACCACTGGCCACCGGTAGAAAGATCACCCGTTCATCTATCTTTAATGAACACAGTGAGACTAACAAAGGATACAAAACTAGAGAACATTATTAAAGATCCTAAAAACCAAAAAACAATGCTTACAGAGTGGTTTGAAGCTAATAAGAAACATAAAGAAGCAAGAGAACTTACATATTGCGAATTTCCACAATATTGGAGATGGGATGAATCAAAGGATCTGGGTCAAGCGACAAATTGGATTTAAAATAGGACGTTTATACTATGTTAATCCAAAAGAAGGAGAACGTTTCTACCTACGTATGTTAGTATTCATAGTCAAAGGAGCAACTGATTACAAAGACATAAGAATATACAATGGCAATGTATATCAAACATTTAAAGAAGCATGTGCAGCACGTGGTCTATTAAATGATGATAACGAATGGCATAAAACATTTGATGAGGCTGCAAGTTGGGCAACAGCTTAACAACTACGATATCTATTCTCAACAATGCTATTATTCTGTAATTTACAAGATGAAAGAGACTTCTATGAAAAGAACTGGAGGAAAATGATAGATGATATTGAACACCAATTGACTATAAAATACCATCCAATGAAACAGAACTTCAAGACCTACTGATTGAGGAATTAGAACAGATCTTATATAAGAATGGGGTTAATATAAGAAACTACAATCTTTCTCAAAAATCAGTTCAATATAAATCACATGACAATAATCAATTTGTTGAAGAAGAATTGAATTACAATATAGATAGTATGGAAGAAGAAGCTAGCAAACTGTACCTACAACTAAACAAAGAACAAAAGGATGCTTTTCACAATATAGTGAATAGTGTTCTAAATAAAGATCCAAAATTTTATTTTGTATCAGGACATGGAGGAACTGGGAAAACATTCTTATGGAGTACAATAATTTCATACCTAAGAGCGCAAAAACGAATTGTTCTAACAGTGGCATCATCAGGTGTGGCGTCCTTATTGCTTCCAAATGGGCGAACAGCTCATTCAAGGTTTCGAATTCCAATAGATATAGATGAATTATCAATATGTGATATAAAACGTGGCACTAAACTTGTTGAACTACTTACAGAAACTGCCCTCATAATATGGGATGGAGCATTAATGACGAATCGCCAGTGCTTCGAAGCTCTTGATAGATCACTAAGGGATATATTATCTGAAAAAGATACAAAAGCCTTGGATATACCATTTGGAGGAAAGGTTGTCGTACTTGGAGGAGACCCAAAACAGATCTTGCCTGTCATTGAAAATGGATCAAAATCACAGGTCATAAGTGCCTCGATAGTTAGATCGTACCTTTGGAACCATGTAACAAAGCTTTACCTGTTTGAAAATATGCGATTACAGAAAATGGACCCACAAAGTTTAGAGTACAAAGAATTGAAGAGTTTCAACGATTGGATACTAGCTATTGGAAATGGCACTATTAAACACCAATCCAACATTAATGATGACTTGGATCAAGATTCAATAATAGTCCAAGTACCGGAAGATCTATTGATACATACCACAGGGAATAAAATCGAAGCATTGGTTCAATTCACATATCCAGATTTTAAAATAAACTTCAAACAACCGGAGTACCTTAAAGAGCTAATGAGATTGCCGATGAAATCAATGATTATATACTCAGCTTAATACCAAGTGCAGAAAAAAGAATATTTTAGTGCAGATACAATATCACAATGTACAGATGCATGTAATGATGCTGAGATACTATATCCTGTAGAATATCTTAATACTCTAACCACAAATAATTTTCCATCTCATAGACTCAAGCTTAAAGTCGGTGTTCCGATAATGCTCTTAAGAAATCTCAATCAAAGTTTAGGATTATGTAATGAGACAAGACTAATAATAACAAATTTAGGAGACAAATGTCATAGAAGCGATCATAATAACAGGAACACGTAGTGGAGAAAAAACATATATACCAAGGATAAACCTAACAACAAGAGGATGTCGTTGGCCATTTACCTTATGTCGACGCCAATTTCCAATAAAAGTATGTTGTTCCATGACTATAAACAAAAGCCAAGGACAAACTCTATCAAGTGTGGGAGTATACTTAAAGAAACCTATATTCACCCATGGACAGTTATATGTTGCAGTTTCAAGAGTTACAAATAAAAATGGATTGAAAAATCTTGATAGAAAATCAAGACGGAACATGTGGATCACTAACTAAAAACATTGTGTATAAAGAAATACTTGAAATGATTTACACTGGTAGAGAACAGAGCTTTACTCCCGGTGGGGAACCCCCTCTAGTCCCGGTTCCCCACCCGGGAGTAAGCATCCGGGACTAAAGGGGAGTCCTTTAGTCCCGGGTCAAGAACCGGGACTAAAGGGGGACCTTTAGTAACATCAACCGGGACTAAAGGTCCTCCCAGCTTTAAAAAAAATAATGCCTCCCACCGCTGCGTCCCGTGAGATTCGAACCCAAGACCCCATGCATTGCCTCGCGCGTAGCTTACCATCCCACCTACACAACACATCTAACAATGGATGGGATGCTTCCCTTTTGAACTAACCCATCGGGGGACCTTTAGTCCCGGTTGGTAACACCAACCGGGACTAAAGGGTCTACTTTTAGTCCCGGTTGGTGTTACCAACCGGGACTAAAGGTTGAGGACCTTTAGTCCTGGTTGGTGGCTCCAACCGGGAGTAAAGGTCCACCTTTAGTCCTGGTTGGTGTCTCCAACCGAGACTAAAGGTCCTCTGCCACTGTGCCGAGCACAGTAGCCGTTGGGCAGGGACCTTTAGTCCCGGTTGGAGACACCAACCGGGACTAAAGGTCTCTCTAGTCCCGGGCGTAAAAAATGCCGGGAATAAAGCTCATTTTAGCATCGGATGAAAGGTCTGTTCTCTACTAGTGTTAGTTTCCTCCACATTTAAGACCCACCCCTGTGTTTTCATTTACTGGATCATATTGCAGGAGTATTAGAATCACCGGGATGCAGATGTTGCAAGGTCTGAACTTGACGGTCAAGAATTACATGGACGCCGCATAGTTGTTTATTTTGCAAGAGGGGGTAAGCTCTTGCCACTACTGTTCTCTACTACATACATGTCATGTGTGACATTTTAGTAAATTCTGTTCACTTCTTTTGCTGTGTGTTTTGGAGCTACACCAGAGCTTCACTGATTGTTGTCCAAGACCATAGAGTTAATTGGTTAATTCTTTTCGGTTGCTCCATCCATTTATACTTTTCCTACCCTTTGTTGATCTTTTCCCTAGCTCTAGAAACACAGGTGCTACTGGTGTGGAGAAAAGGAACATCTTAAAGGAAATTACCTGAACAGCTCTATGGATTTTAGGTATTTCTTTGAATTCTTTTTTTAATTGAACATGCAGCAGGTTTCCTTGAATACTCCAGCTAGATTGCATGTGCCTTTCTTTTTTTAGCACACATTTTTAACGTTTCACAAATACAGAAGAGGGAGAAGCTAAAGCCCAGGCACTGCCGGAGATAAGAGACCACCTGCCCTGCAGCTTAGTGCTGCTGGCATGGTGCTGCTGCTCTGCTCTTGCCAGGAAAACATGGAGACCGTGGGGGAGGAGGGACCATCGGGCTGCTGGTTGTGCTCGTTGCTTGCTGATTTGGAGTTTTGGACAAAGAGGAAGCAGCTACGAGCGATCTGCTCTATGTAGAAGCGAAATGGATCTGCTATTGCGCTCCCCTTTCTGTGGATGAAAAGGGAGGGAAAAAATGGCATCCCTTGGAAAAGGGGAAGAAGCTAGCTGCTGCGGTGGTAGTGCTGTCTGTCTCATGGGAGGGGCCGAGGCTGGAATATCCGAAGGAGCCGTAGTAGGGAACAACAGGGTCTATCCTCTCCGCCTTCCAAGCACAGAAGAAGAGGATAGAGCAGCGGTGAGTGGACACCATACCCATCCCCTCTAACATTTCCTTCTCAGCGAGATTTACAATTTGAGTTCAGTTAGTGATGTGTCAATCTGTCTGTTGTTCATACTTTAAGAGAAAATAGCCCCTTTGGTTCTTGCCAATGGAATATCAGCCTGATATGATGTTTCAATGACAGCAAGTTATTTAGGCTTTTTGTACAATATAAGACACAATTTTCGTTTTCTATATAATCTAAGATTCAGGGCTGGTGGAATTCTGTATTCTTCTCAAGATATTTTGGAGACTTTGAACTCTGAAGCAGCACATAAATTAGAAAATTCCAGAGAATCCGATCACCGATTGATTGTTTGTAATGATTTATTGGCATTGGCGCCTCCATGAAAATAAATCAGGAGAATCCAAGAAAACTTTGGTATTTAAATGTGCTACTAGGATAATTTTCTAGCTATGTAACGCTAATCCACAAAATTTAGAAACTTTACTTAATAGTATGTTTTGCCCTCTCTTGGATTTCAGCTAACCGGTATTACTTCTTTCATAAACTAAAATTATCCATGAACAATCGTTACGATCACTAGATGGTTTATAACTCTTGGTTTTTGTTTCATCCTCATTATAACTGCTTTGTGTATCACCTGTACACCTAAAAAATATTCCATGATAGTGTCTAGAGCTACTTGTATCATATAAGAAATATACATAGTCCACGAAGGTGTTAGAGGCTAGGATACACGGACCCATCATGACCTTGCGCGGCAACGCCACGCCTGTCTTTCTAGTTTCAGTCTAGTCCCTTAGCTTGATAGTTCATGGAATACATTGAACAAAAATTCGAGAACTAGAACTGTCACTTTGATAGTCTTGAGATATGAACCAAGGCCAAAATTAAAGTTTGAGCACCTCAATGATTATTTTGAAAGTTCAAGGATGAAATTGAATAACAACGCTAATACTGTACTCAAATCTCAGTGCTTTACTAAAACCAACAAATTTGGGATTCTCATCAGAAGGAAAAAGAAATAGAGAATTTTGTTTTTCTGGTTTCTTTAGGATTTTTTTAGGGGATTCTGGTTTCTTTAGGATGGGGCTTGGCATTTTAAGGTTGGGCCTGTGGCTCGTCCAAGTCGGACCTGCGGCCCACCTCATCAAGTCACAAACTCACACAACAAACTGAAGAACTCGATCCATTCCTGAAACAGCCCATGAGTCCATAACCAAGCACCACGGCCATGGCCTTCCCCGGCGACGGGGATGACGCCGGCGACGCGGTGGTTCTAGAGATCACCGACACATCATCCTCCGCCGCCGCCCGTGATCCATCCTCACCTCGTCCCCCGCCGGTCTCCATCTCTGACCTCGCGCGCTTCGACCCGCTCCCATCCCCAACCGTCGCCGTTCGCGTTGACCGGCACAGGCAAGCGAGCGCTCTCTCATCTCAACCTAACCCCTAGCTGATTCCTGCGCTTTGGTAATCGAATCCTGTCTTGTGGCAGGCTAATCGAGAGCTCCTCCTACTTCCGCGCGCTCCTCGGCGGCAGCTTCAGGTTAGCGAAAACCCAAGCCTCGAGCTCTCGAGCTACTACTACAAGTTAAGTTGGTGGCGAGTGGGCAGGGTATCTCATGGACGCTGTCTGTGTGCAGTGAATCCGGCCGAGAGCATGTGAACGTGTGCTGCGATTTGGAGGCTGCCGTGCAAGTGCTGCGCTACCTGTTTGAGCCTTCCGAGAGCTTCAACATCACGCACAACAATTTCCTCCCGCTGTTGGAGGTACCCAGTCCTGAAAGTCTAGCGTTTCACTGTTAATCAATTCTGAATAAATGATATAATACTTAGAAGTTGTGGTTGTCTAGTTGATAATACAAGACAATAGCCTTTTAAATTAGTTATCTTATTTTTGATGCATTTATTATGTTTCATAAATTCTGTGCCGTGATAATAGGAATTTCATTAGTACTGTCTACCATTGTGACCTCCATTAGCAGTTACCAGTAAACTAGTGAATCACAGATAGCTGCTGGAGGAAAATGGTCGTTTAGGCCATACTCATTAGCAATTTTGAGTCTAGTGCTACTGCCATCTGTTCATGGTAGGTGCTACTCTAGGTCACTAACTTCATTTATCCTCCAGGGAGCTTTGTTTCTTGCTGTTGAGAGCCTTCTAGTGGAGTGTGAAAGATGGTTCAGCACCATAGCCTCTCAAACTTCCGCCATTTTTTCAGTTCCATTAGATTTCATAATTGAAGTCTGGGACTTTGCTCAAGAGCATGGTGAGTGTCTTTTGTTATGGTGTTCTAAAATTCTCATAGCTGAAGGGCGGGCCTGGTGCAAGCGGTAGAGTCTTACCGCCTGTGATCGGAAGGTCCCGGGTTCGAGTCGCGGTCTCCTCGCATTGCACAGGCGAGGGTAAGGCTTGCCACTAACATCCTTCCCCAGACCCCGCACAGAGCGGGAGCTCTCTACACTGGGTACGCCCTTTTTTTCTGGAATTCTCATAGCTAATAGCTTCCACTTTAACAAAATATAGTCAACTCTTTGAACTTCTTTTTGCGCCGACTTTGTATATGTTTGCAGGTGTTACTTTTGTTCAAGAAATTTGCCGAGAATATCTAGCTCAGAATGTTGTAGGTACAATTACTGCATTACCATTGTACATTCACTTTGTGCATGTTCTTTCAAAAATATATTTCCTGGCAATGTTTGGTTCCTTTCTGATGTGCTCATGCATTATGCAACGTGCTTTCTGTACCACTCCCATTCTGTGGACCGCGCAGGCACATGTTATCTCAAGAAGGTCATTTAATAAAATACCTTATGATTTGCTATGTTCAACGATCGAATGTCCACATCTGACGGTGGATAGGTTTGTTGTATCTTTTCTCAGTGTTATTCTATGACATGATTTTCATTATTCCCCTCTGTGAAGGAAAATAATTTGCTGCCCTTGTCCAGTGAAAAGCAATTGTGTGAAGCAATTTTGTATTGGGTTTCAGAAAATATGAAAACCTGTGAACAATCATACCCCAACTCTGTAGATGGCCACCTCTTCCTTCTTAGCAAGGTACACTGTTCCTCAAAATATGTGGGTAGTATTTAGTGTCAAGTCTATTCTGGCCCCCCGCAGTATCTGCTGTTGTATATTAGTTCATCAAGCATTTGGCTGTCTTGACTTATGCATATCTTTTCATTTGGACTGTTTTTGCAGGTGAAGATATGCCTTTTACCGTTGGGATTTGCGGCAGGTACAATTCCTAGATCTATAAATTTTAAGTGATAACAGACAGTTCTTGTTATGGTGGGGAACGTCTACAAGAGGAGGGACAAAGCTAGTGGCTGACACATGCGCGGGAGTTCGCCGTGCGCGGTCACCACGACGCCCGGTTGGGCAAGTCCGAGTTTCAGGGAGTCTAGTTGAGTCAAGGAGATTTGGTTAGCTAAGTTTGTTAGGAAATCAAGGGATTTGTTAGCAAGTAATCGTCATCATGTGTAAGGACTATAAGAGTCCCAAACCAGTTAATGAAAGGCAGCCTGTGATTGAGATTATATCTCCTTGGCACCGGCGGTGCTCCTCTCGCTCTCCCTGCTCCTCGTCTCCTGTTGTCGCCGAGATCGATCTCGATCACGGCGCCGCCTCGCCGCAAGCCCACGCCCTCACACACCCGCCGATCCTCCCTACTTCCTCCGCAGAAGGCACGCCAGAACAACCTCGGTATCGCACTTCATGGCGACGTCAGGGGATGCATCGGCGACGGTGACGCCATCCACCGGTGCCCCCTCCGTGGTGCCTACGTCCGGTGTGTCATGCCGCCGTCCACACACCACACCACCCGCTTCCATCGCCCACCTCGCCTCCATCGCCGATTCGCTCGCCTTCGCCACCACCGCCTTCAACCATATGCACCGCAGATGACCGCCATCAATCATCAATCGGCGGATCAGCGCCGCCGACGGCCCTCGATGGCGCCTTGCGCTTCCCGCTTTAGCATGCTTGTTTTCGGCGGCGTTCCAGCTCCCCGTCACCTCGATGCCGGTGATCACGGACGCCACTCCAAGCGCGGGGCGACTCCTCCTGCGTCGGTGTTCCCCTCGCCATCGACATCTGCAGCTACCGACCGAAGTCGCATCGGCGCCGACGCCGCCCACGGGAGTTCCACGCATCGCCTCAATTCCCTCGATCCTCGCCGCAAATCCCCAACCACAACTACGGATCGGTTGGGCGACCGCCTCGCCTCGCCGCCTCGCCCACATGGCATCGTCCCACCATATCCCCCGCAGTTCGGCATGGGAGGTCGGCGGCGTTCCCAAAATACCACAAGATCTCGTTCGAGACCCACGACGCCCGGGAGGATCCACTGGGATGGCTCAACAAGTGTGAGCAATTCTTCCGCGGTCACCACCCGCGAGGTTGACAAGGTTTGGTCAAGCGTCCTACCACCTTAAAGGGTTGCCCAAAGAATGGTACCTCGTCCCGAGAGCAAGACATCACCGGCCGTCTGGCGGACTTCCGTCGCTACGCAAAGCGGTAGCTTCGCCCCGCCATTGGCACGAACCACCTCGCTGAATTGGCGCGGCTGCCGTTCGGCTCCTCCGTCGCGCGCGCCTTCTTCCACGACATTGTTCGACTTCACGGCTTCCCCGACTCCATTGTCAGTGACAGAGACCACGTCTTCACCGGGAACGTGTGGCGCGACTTGTTCCAGCAGGCCGGCGTCAAGCTTCGCATGAGCACGGCCTTCCACCCTTAGACGGATGGGCAATCGGAAGCGGTCAACAAGACGATCGTCATGTATCTGCTACGCCTCACCGCGACAAAGCCACGGATCGGCTGGATTGGCTTCCGTATGCGAGTATCGCTACAACACCGCTTACCACTCGAGGTTCGCGACGTCGCCGTTCACCGTCGCTCTCGGCCACGCGCCGGAGCTCTGCCGAGATCGCCCGTAGGGCCCGCACGGACGCTGTGGACTCCCTCTTCTCCGACCGCGACGAGTTCATCGCCGAGGTTCGCGCTCGTCTTCTGCAGGCTCAGGAGCACGCCCGGCGCTTCTACGACGCCAAGCATCGTGCCCTGGAGTTTGCGGTCGGCGACTGGGTGCTTCTTCGCCTCCTTCGCCACACCCAGTCCGCCGCATCCGGTCGCAAGGGCAAGCTTGGGCCCAAGTTTGCCGGGCTTTTCCGGTCTTGGAGCGCATCAATGAGGTGGCATATCGCTCGAGCTGCCGGGGCCGAGCACGAATCCATGACGTGTTCCATGTCGGTCTACTCAAGGCGTTCCGCGGCACTCCACCCGACGCACCGCCGGCCCTGCCCCCGCTTCGCCATGGTCGACCCCTGCTCCAACCAGAACGCGTGCTGCGTTCCCGTCTTAGCCGCGGTGCATGGCAAGTCCTGGTGCAGTGGGTGAACTTGCTCGCGTGGCCGACGCCACTTGGGAACCAAAGGATTTACTTCACAGCGCTGCGTACTCGACCTTCCAAACCGAGGACGACGAGCTGCTTCCGGAGGACGGGAGAGATGTTATGGTGGGGAACGTCTACAAGAGGAGGGACAAAGCTAGTGGCTGACGCATGCGCGGGAGTTCGCCGTGCGCGGTCTCCACGACGCCCGGTTGGGCAAGTCCGAGTTTCAGGGAGTCTAGTTGAGTCAAGGAGATTTGGTTAGCTAAGTTTGTTAGGAAATCAAGGGATTTGTTAGCAAGTAATCGTCGTCATGTGTAAGGACTATAAGAGTCCCAAACCAGGTTAATGAAAGGCAGCCCAGGATTGAGATTATATCTCCCTTGGGCACCTGGCGGTGCTCCTCTCGTTCTCCCTGTTCCTCGTCTCCCTGTTGTCGCCGAGATCGATCTCGATCACGGCGCCGTCTCGCCGCAAGCCCACGCGCCCTCACACACCCGTCGATCCTCCCTACTTCCTCCGCAGTAAGGCACGCCGTAACAGTTCTCATGTTTGCTCCTTCTTTTACGCTACACATCTTCCATAATTTCTTGTCATGTATTAGTAATACAATGGTCAATGGAAAATTGTATTTTTAGGGACAAAAAGGCATTGGTTTGACTTTGGAAACAACATCGTCTGCACAATTCTTGATCTTCTCAAGGACAGTTTGAAAACTTTATTGGATGCTATTGCTGATGGTAACTTGGAGAGATATTGCATTCGAATAACAGAATATTCGAAGGTTTATCCACTTCCATTTAATATTGCAATGATACATTTAACCTGTCTAGAATGAATTCTTCACCTTTATGTTTCGTTCTCTTTTTTCCTGTTGCTTTGCAAAATATTTACTACTTCTTTTAGTGAATGAAACTTAATGCAACCTCTTCATGTACTTTAATCTGATCAAATGCTGCAAAATAGGTGAAGTTTATGATGTGATAGTTAAGGTTGACTAGATCTTTTTACAAGATTCATATTCTCCGAAATATTTTTGCTATGATAATGTGCTTGCTTAGCTTCTTTTGCAAAAAAGGGAAATTGCAAATGCATTAGCCTTGAACTTCACTGTCCAAGAAGATCATGCACTCTGTCTATTTTTAAGGATGATGGTTTTATTTTGCAGAACATAGTGCTTTCAGGATGTCCCCAAGTAACTACAGCATTCTTGTACATATCTGTTCTCCCTACTGATCTGGATGTTTCATTTAAGAGAAGGATAGTGAGTTCATATACCCAGGTGGATCATCGAAGCTTCATTCTTTATGATGAACTAGAGAAGGCTGCTAAAACCTTATCATTCAAGAATGTACACATGGTGGATATTTCAAAATGTCCAAATGTTCATTTTGGCGCAGCAATTGACTGGTTGAAGTTGTTTTTTCCAGAATTAAGGATATTCAGGGTTTCACATTGTTTATCCTTTCAATTTGATGATTTGCTATATCTGTTACTGAGATGTCCATGGATTGATGAAATTGATATGACTGTTGATACAAGCACTGTAACACCCAAACATTCAGTAGTCTCGTCTAGTTCTGAAGTCCTAAGCAAAGTGAAACCAAATCAGAAAAGATATGGCATACATTGTCCACCATATGACGGACAACTGAATTCGATTTTCTTAAATATATCAAGATTGACATTGGAAGGCAGAAGTGATATTGATGGTAATAGAAAAGATTTGTGCTTATCATCTCTTGCTTTGCAGCTGTCCATATTGTTATTACCTTACCTGCAAGCTAGTAACTTCATTGTTTGCGCGTGTGCAGATGTGGGCTTGCTGGAGATATCTGTTTTGAAAAATTCTCTGTGCTATATAAACATTAGAAACTGCTTCCTGTTAACAGATGATGGTATTTCTAACCTTCTGATGAAGTGTACAAAGATCCATTCAATGGTTCTTTCTTACACTTCTTTTGGAAATCGATCAATTCAAACACTATGCGCTACCAATCCTTCTGGCCACAACAGTGTACATGCTCATGTTATGGCATTTTATATGCAAGAATTACATCTGGATGGCTGCAAAGGTAAAAACAATTCCCTTTGTCTCATGCCCCAGATCCCTCGATGACTGAGCAAATGATAATTTATTTTTATGACATCAGAAATACAATGCTATGCTTGTTTTTCAGTTATCATTATGTTTGCCTTCCACTACTTAGGCATGCTGGCTAATATAGGTATATGTCAATATGTAGGTATTGACTCTGCTGCTTTGTCGCAGCTAATGAGCATTATAAGCATCACAAAGTTTCTGAGCTTAAGGGAAACATCACTTACAGATGGTGCACTCTGCAAGTTTGTTGGCTCTAGTCTCGAGTATCTTGACGTTTCAGAGACTGTGGTATGATTTTCTGTTTGAATCATTGTTTTTGTTCAATATACCTGATCACTTGTATATTAATGTGTCTACTTTTTAGAAAATATTTATCATACTGATTATGTAATTTAGTTTTGAACTTCTAACTAATCAAGCAGTACAATTGAACAATTGATGAAACACTCATACTGGAATGTTCACTGAGCTAGGAGACTATTGATGAGTAATACATAGTGCACTGTGGCCTGTGGGGCTATTATTTCTATGTATCAGGTTGATATTTTATACACATGCCTGCAGGCTGCAGGGTGATAGAAGTACACGGTTTTTAATTATGTTGATGGACTTTTCTGCTACTTTATTTTTAGTACGATAGCTATCATTTTACCTTCGCATCCGAAGGACAAACCCCAAAAGTTGATTGTTAAGTTTGTTTTTTTCATGTACCATTATAGAGTGTGCTTAATTCTTTTCTTTTTGTCCGTCGACTCACAGATTTCTATGGTATCATTAGCTCCAGTTATACGAAGAAATTGTAAATTGAACTGTCTGAAAACAGCTGGATGCCGTAGTCTTCTGTTGAATGTGATAATGTAGAAAATATCAGTGGTAACAAGTACGGAGATTTTCTACAGGAGGTAGGAACTACCTGCTGTTTGGAGGATGTTGAAATGGGTTGGGGATTTTGCCCTATTCGAATTGAAGATCTTGCTCCTTCTTTTAGTAAAGTAAGGAAGATGACAATTGGTCTTGGCACAGCATTAGCTGAGAATGTCATGTGTGCTCTTCCTATGATTTGCCCATTCCTCGAGTCTTTGATTCTGAGGTTTCAGGTGTGCCCCAACACTCGACGGCATGTTAAATATGAACTTGTGCTTTTCACTCCATAACAAATTGACAATATACATCCAGGTGATATCTGACAGAGTTGTTAGAAATCTATTGGAATCAGCAGTAAATCTTCATGTGCTTTGCCTGCACTATTGTCTTGGCAGTTTAACTTCATTTAGTTTCCAGACAAAAGCACCTGCATTAAGAGTATTGCAGCTTCATTGGGTTACTCCATGGCTTACAAATGATGACTTGACAATCCTAACAGAGAATTGCAATTTAGCTGAACTTTCACTGTCCGGTTGCAAACACCTTGACTCCAGTAAGTTTACTTCCAAATCCAGTGGCTCCTGTAATTTGGTCATTTTGAGTTTTCACTTTCTCTTGATCTACAGACTCTCAAGACATTATCTCATCTGGGTGGCCAAACTTGGCACTTTTACACCTTGAGGTATGCCTAACTGCAATCTCGACAGTTTGAGTAAACCTTATTGTGTCAGTGCTGAATATCTGATATTTTTTCCTCTAAAATCAAATTTCGGGGTTCAGTGGCTAATATAAGTATATAACTAAACTAAATAAATAGGACTTGCTTTAGTGGTGGGGCAGCAAAAGCCTTTTTAAAAGAGTAGCTTATAAGACTAACAAAATAGCATGTCCATATTTTGTGCGCCAGCATGTACTCTACAGCTCTATTTCATTCACTGCTAGATGTTTTATATCGTATTAGTTGAAACTTGATTTTTAAAAGTATTTGACTTCCAATGCTATAAAAAGTATACTTTACAAATATCTAAAACTCTACTCAATGTCTGAAACCATTTTCATCCTGTACACGCCATCTTTTATGGATTGCATTATTTTTCCATATACAGGAATGTGGTAAAATAACAGTTGAAGGGGTTTCTTCTTTTCTCAGTTGTAAAGCTTTGGAAGACATCCTACTACGGCACACGGTGAGTATGAAAAATATCATAGCAAGTTCTTGAGATATAGTTCTAGTGAATCCTAAAACACAATGTAGAACTGTACTAAATGATGCGAGCAACTTAATACTTGTTAGTTGCTACCCAAAGAGGAAGTGGTGCCTGACATGGCTACAGTTGAAACAAACTTTCACCATGCTGTTGCAAAATTGCAGTCCATCTATAATTCTATATATGTCATTTCCAGGACGTATACCATTGTAACTTTTCTCTGTTGAAGAAGTTGAATTGTTGATTGGTTATATAGTTTCTGAGAGTTGAGAACCGCAGGGTAGGGGCATTGGAAGGAGCATCATAGACGATGCTATCAGAGAGGTGCCTTCCTTCTCTAGTTTATCGTCTGGCACCATCGGTTTCGAAATCTGTAACTCGGTGACATTTGTTGCAGTTACCACTACTGCGGAAGCTGGCTTTGGATCTATGCGATGCCTGTGAAGAAGGTTACGATAGCCCGAATGTGAGCACAGAAAAGATTTCTATCTGTAACTTTGATAAGACAGATGCTAATATATCACTGTCTTTATTTTGTAGAATGCGGAAGGAAAGATGATTAGAAGTGTAAGGATGAGTCGATGCAAGACAATGAAGGGGTCCTGTTTGGAGGTCGCGAGACAAGGGTCTTCAAGGCCGGTGCACAAGGACACCGTAGTGCTGGAATGGAGTAGCAGAAGGCTCACAACCACCATAGTGAAAGAAAGAGTGTGATAAGCCTCTTTTCTGTTCCTGATGAAGTACACTGTTCCTTCACTGAAAAGTACTGCGGAAGAAGAACGGGGCGATTCGCAACATATATGGCTTGTATGAATGCTTTTTTTTCTTTCTGCTGATTTTGAATCCTTTTTCTGTGTGAAGTTATACTAGTGTGATGGACACGTACTTGGTTCCATCCTTTTGTCTGTATGTGTGGTACCAAGCGAAGAAGATCATCTCTAGACAAGTTTGTCCCGAGACCAAACTGTAAATAGCGTTTGCAGTTGTATACATGTACTCTCATATGTTGTGTTGATCCACGAACAAAATTTGATATTGAACTTTTGTATGTATAGTATTTTCATGCGCTTTCTTCAGGAAAAAAAAAGATTGTCGTAGACTTTGGAATTTTTGGATGACCATATCAATATCCAGTTATTCATGTTTGAAATTACAGCTGTATAACAGTAATTTGAATGCAGTAATTTTAGTAGCAAGCGCATGTATAACATCAGCAGAGGCAAATACTGTCCGCCACGTCATTAACTAGCCTCAATCATCATCAATCAAGAAAATTTAAAAAGTATTTTCGCCAAAAAAAAAAATTCTGCTAAACCCTTGTCACCGATCTGCATATCTGCCTGCCAGCTCCCCGCCTCCCGCCGCCGGTTAGGGATGGCCCACCCCTCCGCTACCGCCGCTGCAAACCCTAGCCCTGGCACCGGCGAGGAAGGAGCCGCCTGCTCTCCGCCGTCGCCGTCGCCGTCTCAAAGGGGGCGGGGCAAGGTGGTTATCGTCATGGGCGCCACGGGAGCCGGCAAGTCGCGGCTGGCCATCGACCTTGCGGCCCACTTCGCCGGCGTCGAGGTGGTCAGCGCCGACTCCATGCAGCTCTACCGCGGCCTCGACGTCCTCACTAACAAGGTCTCCCTCCACGAGCAGAACGGTCTGTCTCTGACTCCTCACCACCTCCCCCAACTTGAGTTTCCTCTCAGATTAAATGCTCGAACCCGTTCCATGCGTTATTCCAGGTGTTCCTCATCATCTCCTTAGCGTGATCGATCCCTCCGTAGAGTTCACTTGCCGTGATTTCCGCGACCATGCCGTTCCGGTAAGCCAATGCTGCTACCACTGCCTCTACAAGTTTCAGTACTGGACCTGGGTCACATGATGATAGCTAACGCCTTCCCCTCTGCTCACAGATTATACAGGAAATATTGGATCGCGGTGGCCTCCCTGTGATTGTCGGCGGCACAAACTTCTACATCCAGGTTCAAATTTGAAGTGTCCTGATTTCTGTATCATCAAGTCCATCTGCTTTCTGTGTGACCGCAGTGTCTGAACTACTGTCGTGTTTTTTGCCCACTTAATATTTCAGACTCTTGTTAGCCCATTCCTCTTTGATGATATGGCAGAAGAAATGCAGGACTGTACTTTGAGAGATCACATAGATGATATAGGTGAGTAATAAGTCATGTTAAATGTTCCTTGTTCTTAGTGTGTAGCTCAATTCCCAAACAGCGGTTGACATGTCTGTTATCTGGCCTTACCAATGGCGATGAAGGCAGTGGGTATGAACGCTTGAAGGAGATTGATCCGGTGGCTGCGCAAAGGATCCATCCAAACGACCATAGAAAAGTAAGGGTGTTGCCCAAGTTTCCTGACTTTATATAACTATGCAATGTTAGAATTCCTTCTTGTACAGGTGCTCATTTTCCTACTGCCACTGATTGTTCTGTGTTTTTCCATTCTGCATGCGTTGGTCTATTGCAAAGATCAAACGCTACCTTGAGTTGTATGCAACGACGGGTTTCCTACCCAGTGATCTTTTCCAAGGAGAGGCTGCTAAGGTGAGGAATTTCTCTACACTTGTCTGCTCGGTGCTTTTTATCAATCTTGTAGAAATCCCAGTGAAACGCCCTCCTTTTGTCATGAACGTGAACCCATAATCGTCTTACAACACTCCTTTTCTTTTTTCCTGTTTGAGTTTGAACTTGTTGGGATTTCTAAATGTCTTAAATGAGATCATTGGTTGTGTCGGAACAGAAATGGGGTCGTCCTAGTAACTCCAGATTCGACTGTTGTTTCCTGTGGGTAGATGCTGATCTTCAAGCTCTGGACAGTTATGTCAACAAAAGGGTTGATTGCATGATGGATGCTGGCCTGCTGGACGAAGTATGCAACATATATGATGCAGATGCTCTCTATACCCAAGGGCTGCGGCAGGCAATTGGGGTCCGTGAATTTGATGACTTTTTCAGACTATATTTACCAAGAAAAGAATCTGGTGAGGATTCTTCTGCGAGCTTGTTAGGTATACATGACGATCAGCTTAAGAGCTTGTTGGATGAAGCTGTTTCCCAGCTGAAGGCAAACACTCGCAGACTAGTTCGACGCCAAGTAAGCACTTAGCATCCTGTGTATTTTTATGTTATTGCTGTCTTTTGGAAGACTGTCCAACTGAGCACTGATACTTGGCTCACTGTAAATTTCTTACCTTTTTTTTTTGGCCTTAAAGAGACGGAGACTGCATCGACTGAGTAAAGATTTTGGGTGGAATTTGCATCGCGTTGATGCAACCGAAGCATTCTGCTGTACGTAAGGCCATCTAAACTCCTTCGGTGCACTGTCAAATGTGTATGCATTCTCTGCAGAAACTCATAATCTCTCATGTGTGTTTTGATAGGTGCCACTGGCGACTCGTGGCAAAAGAAAGTTGTTGAACCTTGTGTGGATGTTGTGAAAAGGTTCTTGTCTGACGATTCAACTCTTTTACCAAGCACAAGCGCCTCAAATGGTGTGGTTGGAAGTGTAAGGGGCCCGTCAAGAGAGCTGTGGACGCAATATGTGTGCGAGGTGAGTCTAGTTTTCGAAGAGCTGTATTGTATCCATAAGAAGGGCGGGCCTGGTGCAAGCGGTAGAGTCTTACCGCCTGTGACCGGAAGGTCCCGGGTTCGAGTCGTGGTCTCCTCACATTGCACAGGCGAGGGTAAGGCTTGCCACTGACACCCTTCCCCTGCACCCAAGACAGAGCGGGAGCTCTCTCTGAGTGCACGCCTTTTTGTATTGTATCCATAAGAAAGCAGACGCCGAGAATTCTATTGCAGAGTTACCGATGATGAAGCATGGGTGTTGTGTTTATTTAACTCCACAGGCCTGCGATAACCGGGTGCTGCGAGGGGCGCACGAGTGGGAGCAACACAGGCAAGGGCGAGGCCACCGGAAGCGAGTGCAGCGCCTGAAACAGAAGAACCTGAGCCTGAGGCCATGGCCATCAGCGTCGCAAGACTGCAGCTGATGGAGTGATGGCAGCTGCAGGTGGCCATTTGTTTTGTTTGCAATCGAGTGATGAGGCATGCAGTTCCAGGTCTTGAGCAGTAGACGAGCTGAAAAGCGTTTTAAGTTTTAACATGATGAATCACATGTATGTATGTGGATGGGGTTATTGGTCTTGCTAATGAGTTCACTGAAGAATGTTTTGATTAATAATTGGGTGATCTGCGGCACGTGCGTGTTTTGACTTGTGCTGATGATAAGAACCAAAGTAAATGGCCGCAGGCCTGCAACAAAAACGGCGGGGGCCAAAAAAGCGCGCTGGTGGTGACGTGGTCCAAGTCCAAACAAAGATGTCTCGCGCGCACTCATCATAAACTTGCTAGCCTGACAGCGACATGCTTAATTTTCGCCACGCCCACGGGGAATATCTCCATGCTTTAGCTGAAGCAGGCCCAGGCAGGTGCTGCTGCTTGTAATTATAAAAGGCAGGCAAGCAGCTAGTAGTGGAGTAGTAAACTTGCACACCTCCTCCTATCTCTTCATTAGAGCAGCCGTTTCACGATGTTGTTGGGTCTGCACCAGTACCACACGACGGCACCCAACATAGTATGAAGTCGATCTTGGTGGATACATGAACAGAACATTCCCCTTTTTTTTCTTGTCCCACGGAAGTGGATACATGAACAATGGTCCATCCAAAGAGTACTAATTGGGCACATTCTCTCTCTTTTCCCCTTTAAACACTCGTACACACACAAACTCTATAAACATATGCACCGATGCATGCATACATTGCATCTAGGACTTAAACCCTAATAGACATGTTTGATCACATGGATTATAGATGCTCAATTAATACAATTTGACAAATACTACCATAACGCGGACCTGTTTGGATCACGGCCGATTATTATAATCTGGATTATGTATAGGATTACTACAATCGAGATTAGAATATAAAAATCAGAGTGTTTGGATCATTAAATTATTATAGTGGATTATCGTTGGTTAAAGTGACAAATGCTTACAATCTCAAAAGGCAGCTCTCAACTGGATTATAGGATTATTATAATCTGAACTTTTATTATAAACAACCCACCTATAATCCAACATGTTTTGTTTGCAATTAGATTATTTTAGTTGACTATTATATCACACAGTGGATCCAAACAAAACCTTAGGTGTCCTGACAAGACAAATGCATCAAGATTGTGCTCTTCTTTCTCTTAGAAAAGTAGTTTGATGACCCCGTACGCCTTCCTCGTCATTACTTGCTTGGGCTATCCCCTACAACGAAAATTTTCTACTTGTTTTCTCATGTAAAATTTTGGTTGGGTTGATCATTCTCTTGGACTAAATATTAGACCGGTTAACATTCTTCTTTTTCTTTGTAGATAAGGGTCACTTGACCAGGACTTCTTTGGCGGACATTGTGTATAAATCCCCTTGCTGATAACTAATTTTATTTTCGATCTTCGACTACATTAGTCTTGTGCGCCATTGCATACAAAATGTAAGGAAAAAACAAACCTATTGGTAGGACATACACCCAGCTAGAATGAATAGACACCGATGGAAGGATGTTATTAAAATTAGCACGACATTTTATTTCATCGGGTTCTAATCGAACTGTTGAATTGGTCAAACTTAAGATGGTCTAGAGTTACAATAAAAGTTGTTACGAGGATCATTGGTGTTGTGTTTCTTGTGGTGGTAGTTTTGTTGTTGCCCTCTTCGTG